CCGCCCCCCGTCCCCACTGTCGGAGTAGCCGGCAAGAAGGAACTGAGGGGGCGCCGGGTCGGCTGGGGTATATATTCAGCGCCATGAAGGCGCCACTCTAGGGGGCTCCACAGCCGACCCGCCGGTGTTGCTAGGGTAAAAATCTTCCGACGATCGTGCACGCGGCGCGCACACACCTAATGGAATGGATATAAGCAACACATCTCGAAGAACAACAGTTACAAAGGTGAGTAACCGTCTTTTCTCACTTTCAGGTGACATTGTAAACAAGAAGTGGGCAGCATTATCTCCTGTAAATGTAAACAAACTTGTCTGTCTGAGCGATTGGCTGAATAGGAAGTAGGACTGAGGGGATTTGCAGACTGTACATTTTACATGGTTTTATTTTTTGAATTAAGTTTTTTTTGTACATAATTCTACATTTGTAAGTTCAACTTTCATGGTAAAGAGATTGCACTACACTACTTGTATCAGGTGAATTGAAAAATACTATATTTTGGTGTGTTTTTTAAAGTGCAAATACTTGAAATCAAAAATAAATATAAAGTGAGCACGGTACACTTTGTATTCTGTGTTGTAATTGAAATCAATATATTTGAAAACGCAGAAAACATTCAAAATATTTAAAGAAATGGTATTCTATTATTGTTTAACAGTGCAATTAATCGTGATTAATTTTTTTAATCGCTTGACAGCCCTAATAGATATATCCATTTTCAGAGTCAGCTTTGTATATTTTCATAGTACTCTGAGTCTACTTACAATTAATCTCTGGAAAACTTTATTTCTGATGTAAGAGTAAAATTCTCTGTATTTTCACAATATTGTCATTCCTTTAAAATAGTTTTGTTTTCAGAATAAATTACAAAGCCATACAGTACTCTGCTTCAATTACATGATAACAGACCTGCATTTAAACAACATTTTCTACACCCAGCCTGTACAGAACACTTTAGTAATGATACATTTTACACTGCCTGTGAGACTTGGTTTCTGATATGTATCTGACAAGTTGAGATTCTAAAGAGAGAAAGAAGGGGAAAAAAGAAATATTGTATTCCAAGGTCCCAATCAGAGATACCACACAAGCATACGCAGTAGAAAGAAAGCCCATATAAACATCAGCTAATCACCAGAGTTCCAGAAAAGGATTCTAGGGTAAATACTAATAATTTCCCATTTTGTTATATCCAAAAAGGATTTTTTCATATATAGACAAGTTCATGAGGGAATAAATCTAAAGCTTTATATTTTGTTTGGTAGTCTTGTGGTGCCCAGCCACCTCAGTTCCTTTCTTTCTGTGACTAGTTGTGAGAAAAAAGGCCTTCACTCTGTGTCAAAAGGACCTTTATTGGTTTTAATGAAAAATCTCCTGTTAACTTGTTATAGTTAATACATTATAAATAGTTAATTTTAGGCACTTTCTGTGCAATTGCCTGATTTTAGATTCCCAGACTGTCTCTGTATCCAGGCAGGGCTTTACAGATGAGATTTAAGGGACAAAGTTTATATCTGCAGATATAGCGGATATCTGTGGAGCTGTAGTGTTATACCAGAAATCGTAGCGGCAAAAGCAGCAGGATGTCGGGCTGCCATTCGCAGGAGCCAGCGCCCAACCCAGACAGATTCTCCAGCGTGGCTGTACGGTCCCCAGCCATGCCCACCGGGAGGGCCCCAGGCTCACTTGCAGCTGTCCCTAGGGTTGCCAACTTCCTAATCACACAAAACCGGGGTGGAGCCAGAAATGAGAGGTTCAGGGTAGAGGAGGGTGCTCTGGGCGGGGGATTGGGGTGCGGGCTCTGGGGTGGGCCAGGGATGAGGGGTTTGGGGTGCAGGAGGGGGCTTCAGGCTGGGGGGTGGAGCCGAGGGGTTCAGAGTGTGGGAGATGGCTCTGGGCTGAGGTTGGGGTGCGAGAGGGGGTTTGGGCTCCAGGGTGGGGGAGGGGGCTCTGGGCTGGAGCAGGGGGTTCGAGTGCAGGCTCTGGAAGGGAGTTTGGGTGCGGGAGGGAGCTCAGGGCTAGGGCAGGGGTGCACGAGTGGGTGAGGGGTGCAGGCTCTGGGCGACACTTACCATGAGGGGCTCCCCGGAAGCAGCAACATGTTCCTAGGCAGAGGCACAGTCAGGCAGCTCTGTGTGCTTTCTCTGCCCACAGGCATTGCCCCAGAAGCTCCCGTTGGCTGTGGTTCCCGGCCAATGGGAGGTGCAGAGCTGGTGTTCGGGGCGGGGGCAGCATGTGGAGCCCCCTGGCTGTGTCCTCGCCTAGGAGCCAAGGGACATGTTGCCACTTCCAGGGAGCCACACAGAGCCATGTAGCGAGCCTGCCAGACCCCCAACTGGACTTTTCTCTGCTGACTGGAGCCACCAGGGTCCCTTTTCGACCAGGTGTGCTGGTCAAAAACCGGACACCTGGCAACTCAAGCTGTCCCTGGTCGGGCTAGTGTGTGCAAGATGGAGACCTCTGCATGGAAGGGACTCCTGTCTGGGAGCGTGCAAGCTGCTTGCACACACTAGCGTGACCAGGGACACCTGCCAGTGAGCCTGGGGCCCTCCTCAGTAGGCAGGGCTAGAGTCAAGCTCTTTATGATGGAAGCTAACTCCTTAGGGTTAAGGCATGCCCCTCCTGTGCTGCTTCTGTGTCCCTCAATGGTGGACACTCTTTTTCCAGTTGGATTTAGAAGTCTAGAGATGCCCGAATACAGTTACTATTTCTGAAATGCTCTGACACCTTCCTTGGGCATGGAGGAGAATGTAGCTAAGGCCTAGTCTTCCCTCCAGTCCCTTCTGGCTGGTGTCCCCGCGAGCCAGGATTCCACCTTGAGCTCCAGGGCTGAGATGTCTGAGGTCCCAGTTGCCAACTTCAGTCCATATGTTGACTTCTTTAAGCAGGTTTAGGAAGGAGCATCACTCCAGAGATGAGCCTACACATGTAGATCCCCCCCCTCCAGGACCTTTAGGCTGAGACCCAAGAATTGACATGTTTGGCTGCAAAGCTTACGACTAGTCTATGGGCAGCCAGTAGTCTAAGATGGGTCCCTTTGGCGCCTTATTACTGGCCATGAAAAAAATTGCTTGTACTGGCTAAATCCACTGACTGCCTTTTCTCTGACACACCTCTTTGGCACTCTTGGTAGCCGGCATGTCAGTACTGTTGTTTTCGGTACCTGTGGCCTATTTTGCACCAACAGACCTGTCTGTAGGCCTGATACAGCTATGCTTTATGTCAACAGACAGGGTGGGGCCAGGTCATCTCTGCTCTGTCAGGCCATTTGGCTGTTGACTTGCTGCATATTTGTCACTGGTTCATATCACTAGCCCTTGCAGACATTCAGACAGAACTTACTAGTAGATCACCTCAGCAAGCAGTTCACAGACAACCATGTGTGGTCAGTTAAGGACCCGGTGTTGCAGAGCATCTTTTGCAAGGGGGGATACCAATCAATAGCATATTTGCCACAGACCAGAACAAGAAATCCCAAGTGTTCTGCTCCAGAGAAGGCTCCAATCCAGGATGCTTTTCTTACCCTCTGTACACAGGGACTGATATATGCTTTGCCCCTGGTTCCTGTGAGACCGAGGGTCCTGAGGAAAATGAGTCAAGATGCTGGACTGATTATCATGATGGGCCAAGCAGTTCTGGTATTCGGATCTGATGAACTATTCAGTGCAGCCCCCGATCTCTTACCTGCTGAGTCTGACATTGTCACACAAAACATCCCGGGAGGCTAGATCCACCCCTAGACCCAGTCTACTTATGTTTGACAGCCTGGATGCTGGCTGGCTGATGTACACCATAAGGTGTTCTCCTGAGGGTCAGAACATTCTGCTCCAAAGCAGAAAAGCCTCAGCTAGAATGACTGACTTATAAAACCAAGTGGTGGTTTTCTGTTTGGACATCTGAGCACCCATTTCATTTCACTGGACACCCATTTCAACAATACAGAACTATTTACTATCAGAAACATTCTGGGCTTTTTGTCAGCCCCATATGGATCTACCTAGCAATAATATCTCTATTCTGGGGCTTTCTGTTAGCTCCATAAAGATCTATCTAGCAGTAAAATCTGCATGTCAGGCCATACTGTATTTTCTCACCCTATACTGGCTATGTTCCTTAAGGACTTTATTCATGCTTTTTCACCCAATTCAGGAGCCTGCCCTGGGACCTTCCTCTTGGGATCTCAATATAGTATTAACAAGGTTGATCGTTCCCCACTTTGAACCTTGTATACCGTCTATCACTGAAGACTGCCTTTTTAGTAGTCATTACATCAGCTTGAGTAGGGGAGATGCAGTCTTTTGTGGGGGGCTTCCCCTTATATACACAGTTTCATAAGGACAGGCTTACTCTGAGGCCTCATCCCAAGTTCCTGCCCAAAGTAGTTTTGGAATTCCATATGAAGCAATTTATTCATCACCAAGTTTCCTTCCCAAGCCTCACTCAATCCCCTGGGAAGTTAAACTTCATATGCTTGATGTATTAAGGGCATTGTCATACTACTTTCACAAGACAACAACTTTCAGGAACACACCTAGCCAGTTTGTGATCTTTGGTGATAGGATTAAGGGTCAGGCAATAACCTCCCATTGATTATCAAAATGGGCGTTCACCTGTATAAGGACAGATTTATACGAGCTGAGAAGAAACCGGAGTATAGGTAGACTAGATCCACCTAGCCACATTAGAGCTCATTCCACTACTGCTCAGGCAGCTTCTGCTGCCTTTGTTTGAAGAATGTACCAGTAGTCAAATCTGCAGCACAGCTATGTGGTACTTGGTCCACACAAACAACGAGGAGTGCGGTGGCACTTTAAAGACTAACTGATTTATTTGGGCATATGCTTTTGTGAGTAAAAAAAACCACGAAAGCTTATGCCCAAATAAATCTGTTAGTCTTTAAGGTACCACCGGACTCCTCGTTTTTGTGGTTACAGACTAACATGGCTACCCCTCTGATACTTGGTCCACGCAATTTCAAGACACTGTTCTTTAGTAGAGGCTTCCAGATCGCATTCCTGTTTTGGTAGAGCTGTCCTGCTATTCACACTACACGTCCATCTTCAAAAGGACTTGGCTGTTGGCAATAAGAAATGAGGCAGTTGTGGGATTCACTGCCTCTTGTCACCTCAGCTCCTGAGCATTTGTTGCTGTGAGTGGATACTTGTGTAGTCCCAGTGGGTGCTGTTTTTCTAGCAGGTTCTTGGTCAGCTATACCAGGGGATTATCTAGCGACAGTTCCATTATTTTACTGACTTCCTCCTAAAAAGGGTGTTTATAATGAGGCCTTGTAAACATAAGCTGGGGCAACACCAGACGTCCAGCACTTGATCTGCAGTAACACTCCCATATGATATAATCATGTATGGATTCAGTAAAACTTATGATCTGCGTTATACGAATATCTGTGAAGCCCAGAGCCCTAGCGTATTTCTGTATATTACCAATTACCAGTCTGAAAAAAAATCTTAAAATTAGTTTAAAATTTAAATTGTTTTTTTTTTCTGTAGAATGTTCTATTCTCAACTTTAGAAATGTGTAAAAGTTTTTTGCGGTAATATATTTTTATATACAAAATATTTAAATATTTGTACATTTCCCCCCATTCTTAACATGCAGGTGAAACCATCTCAGCTTGTTAATTATTTACAGCAGAAGAAAACTGAAGGCTACACCATCATAGGTGTGGAGCAAACTGCTAAAAGTTCTGACTTGACTGAATACTGCTTTCCAGAGAAATCCTTGTTATTGCTGGGGTAAGTTACAAATAACCTGTATCTGTAGTTTCCATACTGTGGTCCATCAAGCCACCCTTCCTCGTGAGCAGCAGTTTAATAATTTGAAAATCAAGCAATGTTGGTGGAAGGAAAAAAGAGACGGTATATAACAGTATTTCTCTTCCACTTGGTATAAAAGATTTAAAATATAGAACCCCATGGATCAAATATCTTTGTCTTTAAAGAGGGCTTTATAACTCTGGTCTCTGTGGTTCACTTCAAAGCATCACACCATGGCATTATTCCTTGGCTAGGACTTCTGGATGGGACTTTAGAGCCCAATAATGCTAATTCATTTGGTCAGACCCAGGAATCTCTGCAAAGAGAGTGCCCTCATCTCTCATGAGCTGAATACAGTGTTAATGTAGAGCTTCATAGACGTTGCCTTGCCAATGAGCTAAAGTTAAACCCAGTAATAAGTCTCTCACATGACAGAATAAATGCCCTGAGTCTCTTTTGTAATGTGACAGCCTCTCTTTCACTCACCCTCCTTTTCCACACCTTTGTTTTCCAGTTATGTTGCACACTTTAGTTTACCCATTTTATCTTCAGCATAGCTATGTGATGTTATTTTCAGTGACCTCATTCAGAAGGGGGTACAGTCTGTGTAAGCAGTGCTTTCTGAGGTGCTGTCACTAGAAATAGCAGACCTGGATACCTATGGACCAGTGTGGGAATATTTAAGATAGTCACGGGTATTTAGTGATTGGTTATCCCTTAGCTGGCCCAGCCCTGGAAACACAGAAATCTTACCATCAATGTGAAGTTTGTCCTTGCCAAACTCAGTGACTCGATCTTTAGGGGTGATTTTTAAAGTTTTTGGCATCTTTTCATAACTTTAATTACATCTGGAGGCTGAAGTGAAATTTGAGATGCATTAAAACACGAACTCCCATAGGCCATTGAGTAACCTCTATATGCCAGAAGCAGTTTATTGGAGTATGTTTAGCTATGTAAATTTAAAGCACATTCAAAAATCAACCACAAGAGCGTGGAGGTTGCGCGCACTGAATAAGTGATACTGGTACTGTCAATAAAATTTAGTTAAAATAAAAACAAACTATTTTCACAAAATGTAAAAACTGAAGATTCTCTGTAAAAATGCAAATTTCTTGTTTTCCTGTGGCAAAAAGATTAATCTAGGATCATTGTATATCAGTCTCATGTTTGAGATGTGGAAAACCTCTATTAGGATAAGACTGTATTATATTTTGGTTAAGTCACAACCAAAATGAACCAATCTGAGTTTTTCTTAAAGCAAAAAGATAGTGGACTAAACTACTACACTGTCTAGTTTCCGTTGTCTTCAGTGTTTCTGTAACATTTGCTTCTGAAGCGAGACGCTAGTTTTAGTATTTTGTAAGTTTCCAATTACAATGCTATGGAATTTTTAGATTTTCTTTTTTTGTGCTCATCAGTTATATGTATGAAGAAGTAAGCATCAGCTGCATGGATAAGAAACTTATTCCATGATGGGTGGAGCTGGCAGCAACTAGTGGTGTGAGTGGTGTTTGCTACTGTAGCTCATTTCTTGTTTTTTCTGTTGTGGGATACTTCGGTTTCTCCAGACAGGTGCATGTTGGAGACAGCATGAAGTGATATTTCTTCTTTTCTGGGTAAAAGATTTACATCTTTTTAATTTCCTCCTTATTAGAAATGAACATGAGGGAATCCCAGCAAACCTGATTCAACATCTGGATGTTTGTGTGGAAATTCCTCAGCAGGGTATCATTCGATCACTGAATGTTCATGTAAGTGGAGCACTGCTGATTTGGGAGTATACAAGGCAACAACTGATCAAGCAAAAACAACTGAAATAACTGCAAGAGTCTTGTGCCTTATTTGTAATGCAGCTGGATGGCTTTTTATGGTGCTGTAAAATATGTTTTTAAACACATGGAATAATTACAGACTCAGGGTGAATGACTATGTTTTTAAATTTTGCATGTCATACAACGGTATTATGTAGTACAAAAATTGTTTTTAAATGCCTTAACGTGTATTATCTGATTGTATACAACTGTTTTATTGGTAATAAATAGTCTTATTTGTATAGTGCTTACGTATGTGTGGATCTCTTATTGCAGTGGAAGCAACCAGAGTTAACAGACTCTTCTCCCCTCGAACACGCAACTCACTGACATTTAACTGTTTCATACAGTGTACTTCAAAATCTAGGGTTTTACTACAGCAGTCATTTTGGTCGCAACAGCTGTAGCTGAGGTTCAAATGGTTTTAATTTTATCACCTATACTCACTACTAACACCCTTGTGTAGGCTGTGGCAAGGTACTTTGTTTTCTGCAGCATCTGGGTACAGCAGACCTGAAATTCTGCAGCTGTCTTAGGTGAAGTTAAAAACTGACATTAAGTATGAAATATCTATTATATTATTCCTTCGTGATGGTCATTTTCATATTAAATTCAGTTTTTTACTCTCCCTAAATTTTCACTGTACTACAGATTTTGAAGTGATGCTGGAAGTTTTGGCAGAGGACCAGTTAGGGTCTTTTACATCAGGAAATGGGGAAGTGGTTTAGGAGTATGGGATAAATCATGTCTATGTTAGTGAGCATTTTTAAAACACAGGTTTTAAACACCTAAACAGTGTTTGCTGATCCCAGTAAACTCTATGCTTGGTAATTTAGCAAGATGAATTGTTCAGGTGTAGGGCCCTGTCCTAATACACAACGTTTTCTTAACCCTTTTTCACTGACAATTTGGAAAATGCCGTTATTAAAGCAACTGCTATTTTGCCTAAGGACTATCTCACGTAAAACAAACCTTTACTGAAGCAAATCCATTGTGAATAATACAGGAGTTGGTTATATCATTGCCACCAAATTATACAAACAGGGATATAAGAAATCATACCTGTAGCATTGTATTTTTCACAAATACAGGGGAGAGGGATAGCTCAGTGGTTTGAGCATTGGCTTGCTAAACCCAGGGTTGTGAGCTCAATCCTTGAGGGGGCCATTTAGGGATAGGGATAGGGATGGGGATGGGGATGGGGATGGGGATGGGGAGGGGAGGGGATGGGGAGGGGGGGGGAGGACACACACTGTCAGGGACAGTACTTGGCCCTGCTAGTGAAGGCAGGGGACTGGACTCAATGACCTTTCAAGGTCCCTTCCAGTTCTATAATAGGTATATCTCCAAATTAAAAAAAAAAAGTTGGTGACATACTAGAGAAACTGTTCACCTACAAATCTCAACTATAATTGTGCAGATGTTTATGAAAATACATAAATGAAGACCAGCTACATAAGAAATGAGATGCAGTGGTTATTTATACCTCTTGATCTTTATCTAAAATCTTGCCATACAGTAAGACAGCTGAAATTAATTTGATTCACAAAATGTTCAAAGAATTAGCATAGAGTATACCTGCTCACTTACACTGACACATCATCCTCATAGAGAAGGAGGGAAGATGAAGGAGCTTTTTAGAAAAGTTAGTTCACATGCATAGAAAAACTTGTCAAGTTTGAAAACAGTTTAATATTCTCCCTAAAATATAAATTTATAATTCAGTGCATTAATTTCTGGGAAACACTGCTTTTCATCCTAGTTACATGATAAAAAAAAAATCAGGTATAGGAAAAATTATATACCATATTTCTTTGATACACACACACTTACAGACAGTCACTGTCTTTTTCGTTTAATTACTGTTCTCGCATAAAAGCGAGACATTGCAATAAGGAAAACAGCATGAATTTCTAGAGATACAGTACAGTTAGTTTTAACTCAGAGTTCTTGACATATTTCAGTACTTCTCTTCCATAAGATTATTCTTTCATTGATTGTGTTTCAATAAGTTGATGCGTAGCTATGACTTTTCAGTAGTCCCAGGAGGCTGATATTCTCCTGCTTGAAGCTGTTCTTTGTATTTTAAAAAGTCTCTTCTTTTGTCAAAGTATTTTACCTGTTTTAAAGAGAGATCACTTTATGTTCATCAAAGCAAACTGGTGTAGTATGAGACTCCAACGTGAAAAGTTCTTATTCACACATCATCTAACAGGATTGCGAAAAGAACAGTCTTTGATCATTATTTAAACATACACACTTGACCAAGTTGATACTGAAAAGTTGTGTATGTTTAATGGTTTAGAATGTGAACTCAGTCGTTGAAGCAGAAAAAATGGGATGTAGCACATAGTAATACATTGGTCTCAAGTGCCATGAAATTGCGAGCCCTGCCACTATTACATGAGCATTCTCCCCTTGAGGTCAAGGTTTTCACTTATGAAATATTACCCATTAATTTCCCTGTTTCTGGGAGTTGACAGGACGTTTCCCAAATACCTTGCCAGTGGTATCTCAACATAACTTGGGGTGAAATCTACTTCACCAGTTATCTGACTAGGCAGTCTTCTGGATTTAATACACACTTTGTTTTTTCAATGTACCACTCCATGAAACAAAATACCCCATCTTTAAGAGGATCTACAATAGTAATGCTTTGCTCACTGTGCAGCAGAAGTTAACTATTTGGAGGGCATTGCTTACATGTGTTTATGCCAATGTCCAAATATTCTGGATAGTTACATAACTGGAAAAATTAAAGGGAAGCAGTGTCTGTTAAATGAAAAACAAAATTACTGTAAGGTATTATGAATAATGCAGATTGCAGCATTACTTGAGAATGCTTATATGAACTAATTTATGTGCAGAAGAAATTCATTTTTGATACAACTGTCAGATTGCATCTTATGACTGGTGAAAAGCTACTAGCACTCACCCATTGCTGTGGACACCTAGATTCAAAAGAACATCTAAGCTTCTGACACCTAGATGCATCTTCCATATTTTCATCTAAGCATTTCCAGTATTCATCCCTGGCTCCCCAGCAAGCCTTCCTTTCCTCCATTGATGGCGCTGACATTTTTATTACTGGCAAAATAAAATAAAATTGTAAATGTCTTGTCCCCTTTAAACACTGATCTGCCTATTGCCTCAAGTTTATTCACACAAATATTGCACTGGTTAGTGAAAAGGTCCAAGAACTGGCAAGATGTGAGACTTTATTTGTAATGGCTTCAATAACCTTGAGTGTGCCACTTGATCTTGTGCCACAGTAAACGGTGGAGAACTAAATAAAATGAATCATATTGCTGATAGGCAGCTGCTGTACGTCTGAGAAGCTTAACTCTACAAGAAGTTATAGTCACCAACATTTAATTTTAGAAAGAGGAAAGATGCTTCACATCAGCCGGCTTCCACTTACAGGAACCAGAAAGGGTCCGCACTTAACAAAGTAGCAACGCAAATTACAAATCTGGGTATATGCTCCCTTTAAAAGAGCAAACACTAAACTACACTTTAAATCAGTGTAGTGATAGGACAAAGCTGCACTAAGGCTCCCCCTTTCCTGGCCCCTGTTACAGTTTAATAACAAGAATCTGAAGCTATTTCCCCAGGTCCCAACCTCATAGAAACGCTGATCGGGCGGTGAAAACTAAGCGCCTGCAGAGCGAAACCACCACCCCCGTGGGAGAGCAGCAGGGAAACCCCCGTGTGCCCGCGGCGCAGGGAGCGTCTCCCCCGCCCCACAAGGTGCATTAACCCCACTGCACACGGGTTCGGGGCCGGCCCCGTCTCCTCCGGCAGAGCCGGAAGGCGGGATTCTGGCGTCTGTCCCCAGGCACCTGCCCCACTCACCCTCCGGCAGCCGCACAGCTGAGGCTGTGACCCCGGACCGGATACAGCTCCAAAGAGCCGGACGTGACGGTAGCAAAGACAACACATGGGACCGGGATTGTGTGCGCATGCGCAATGCTGCGGGGGCTGCCATTTCCGCGTTGCTAGGAGACGCTCCCGGGCCTAGTAGTGCCACCTTTTCCTGTTACTCTCGCTCCCGGGTGGCAGCGTTAGGCAGGGGACGCCGAACTCCCAAGGGCGCGGGGCGGGGCGCCCTTCAGGCTGCTGGGGCCCGGGGCGGGGCTGGAGCGGGACCTATCTGGCCCAGGCACAAATATCCTGGTTCTTAGGCGAGGGGGTGGAGCCTGATCCAGGTTAGGGCTGCGGGGGGCTCCCCAGCTCCCATCTGCGCCCCCAGTGGTCAGGCCGGGTGCTGGGGGTCAGGCAAAGCCCCGGTGGTGCACAGCCGAGTCCTGCCCTCGGGCTGCAGCCCCAGGCGAGGGGGGAGGGGCTTGGGCTGTGAGGGGAGGTTGTACCCGACTGGGCTGAAGTGTGAATCCTGAATGTGGCTTTGTTACTCGTGATCGACTCTCTCACCGCGTAACACCTGATCCTGCCAATGCTGAGCCAGGCAAATGTCGCAGCTTCGTGGGCCGAGGCTGATCTTTGGTCTTATCACAGTCAACGGTGCTGGGTAACGGGACGAGCGCGGGATTCAGGACGCAGCCAAGCATGGGCATGTGGAGGATAAGTCGGGGGTCTGTGGACACGTGATTGATAGGACCACAGATATTACAATGTATTTTTACTGTAGCAACCTGTTTATCAAGCCATACCGAGAAGCTGTAGGGAGCGAGAATGACAAAGCTGCGACCAGTGTTTCTCATGTCCAATCTGGAGGGGTGTTCTCCTCTGCTTTGAAGTGTGGAGGCAGACCAATAACTAGGGCCCTACCAAATTCACAGTCCATCCTGGTAAATGTCACGGTCATAGCATTTTTAAAATCTTGAATTTCATGGTTTCAGATATTTAAATCTTAAATTTCATGCTATTGTAACTGTAGGGGTCCCAACCCAAAAGAGGCTCACGGGGGAGGATCGAAAGGCTATTATAGGAGGATCACAGTATTGCTGCCCTTACTTCTGCACTCCCTTCAGAGCTGGGGACCGGAGGGTGGCAGCTGCTGGCCAAGAACTCAGCTCTGAAGGCAGTGCTGATGCCAGCAGTAGCAGAGAAGTAAGGACGGCAATACCGTACCATCCCATCCTTACTTCTGCGCTGCTGCAGGCAGAGGCACTGCCTTTAAAGCTGGGCAGCCAGAGAGCTGTGACTGCTCGCCAGGCGCCCAGTTCTGAAGGCAGCACTGCCACCAGCAGTAGTGCAGAAGTAAGGGTGGCAATACCATACCATGTCACCCTTACTTCTGCACTGCTGCTGGCGGCGGTGCAGCCTCTGGGATAGGTGCCCGGCCAGCAGCCACTGCTCTTCTACAATAGCCAGATTTCACAGGGGAGACCAGATATCATGGTCTGTGACACGTTTTTCATGGCCATGAATTTGTTAGGGCCCTACCAATAAATGTGGCTGCATGTAGGGACTAGGGACTATGCCTTCCTGGAATTTTCTATCACCACACATGTGGGCAGTGGACCAAGAGCCTCTGCTTCTGACAGAGCTTTTGGGAGTTTTTCTAAGTCCCCTACCACTACCACCTTCCCCTTCCAAAAAGGAAAAGGCATTTTTACTTACTGAAAGCAAAATACAGTAACTCCTCACTTAACGTTGTAGTTATGTTCTTGAAAAACGTGACTTTAAGCGAAACGATGTTAAGCAAATCCAGTTTCCCTAAAGAATTAATGTAAATGGAGGGAGGGGGGCTAGGTTCTGGGGAATTTTTTTCTGCCAGACAAAAGACATTATATACATATACAGTATAAGTTTTAAACAATTTTAAACAAACAATTTAATAATGTACTCAGCAATGATGATTGTGAAGCTTGGTTGAGGTGGTGGAGTTAGAGGGTGAAAGAGGGTGGATCGTCCAGCTGCTCCTCTTGCTGTTCTTTCCAAAGTGCTGGGGGGTGCTCAACCCCTGGCTCTGCCCCAGGCCTGCTCTCCACTTCACCCCTTCCCCCAAGGCCCCACCCCCACCCCGCCTCTTCCTGCCCCTCCTCCACCCAAGCGCACCACATCCTCACTCCCCCCCCCATTCCCTTCCAGAGTGTCCTGAACGCCATGAATCAGCTGATTGCTGCGGGCAGGAGGCGTGGGGAGGGAGGAGTTGCTGACCTGTGGGGCCGCTGGAGGGCGGGAGGTGCTGGGGGGGAGGGTTGAGGGGGCTGCCGGCCCACCCTGGTTCCAAGCCCCCATTGCCAAATAACGTTATAAGCAAACATTGCACAACTTTAAATGAGTATGTTCGCCAATAGATCAGCAACGTGACAATGAAACAATGTTAACCGGGACAACGTTAAGTAAGGAGTTACTGTACCCAATATTCCTGGGCTCCTTCTGACCAGGGAGTTTCTTGGAGCTAGCCCTTCCTGAACCCCTTCATCTCCCATGCAGAAGTGGGGATTATTGCTCAGACAGACCTGTCCCCCGGCCCCAACTCGGGTCATGTCTGATGGGGACAAGAAAAAACAACCCAAATACCTCCCCTGCTCCTCCCTGCTCCTGGGGCCATATGGCACAGCTGCTGCTCCTCGGTCACAGTGAAAGATGGCCCAGAGGTACAGAGGAGGATTAGGTCCCTCAACTGCCCTTTCCACACTCGGGCTGGTGATGGCAGCAGTCATAGAGCTGCAACAGTAGTGCCCATCCTCTAGCTTACGCCCAACATGCTCTGCAGGGCTGGCTTTAGGAAGTGCGGGGCCCAATTTGAACATTTTAGGCGGGGCCCCGACAGGGATGACTAAAAAAAACACACGTAAAAACGCCCTTTTA